TATAAGTAGCACACACTACAATTACTACTGGTGATATTTATCTCTTGCTGAATATGGTTAAACTTTATTAATAAGTCACTTCATCAGAACCTTCTTAAACTTATTTCCTAGTAAACACATGATAATTGTTATTATAGGGTTTCATGTTAATTAGTGAATGTAAACTTTCATATTAAGAATTAACTTTAATCAGATAATCGTTGAAAACCAGAAGGCATTGAACATAAAATTCCAAGTTTTATGACCTATAATACCCTTTGATAAAAACATGTACAATGGGTTAAGAAAGGATAAAATTTCACATCACTGAGTGATGATCAATGTCATGCGTGTATAGTCCTTATTAGTGCAGATCAAATGATATCGACCATGTTGCAATGTGGCCACCAGTCTAGGTTACTCGACACTGCGTTCACTATTGTGAGATTAGATGGTGGTTGGAGGTACGTAGGATAAAACGTGTTTATCTACTTTCATATATATTGTGAAACACCAGCTATATTCCCGTTAAAGTATAATCACTCAGTAATTAAAGAAGGTGATAACATTTTGAACAAATTTTGTTCTTCTGAGACTATAATTTATGGACGACCTTTGAGCGATGTTAAACTGACATTGAAAGTGTCCACTTAATAACCAGCATTAAATGAGGGTTATGAACCTGTATAAGGAATTCGAATTATGATTTACAGTTAATGGTTTAGGTTAGGAATTAGATTTCGGGTTTTTATTACAAACTCTATTTAGCCAAATGGATGAATGAATTTCACGCCAAAATCCGATACTTATTATCTTATACGTGATCGGTTCATCCATAAATTATAGTCTCGTCGGAAAACTATTTGAACAATAATAAAGTAAGGAATTATTTCAGATCATGGACTTATTCAGATGATGGTTTAGAGCTTAAAGTTTACCAAATAAATATGTTTCTCAAGTTTCTATTTCCTAATATAATTAAACGAAACTACTAACTATGCTATAGTTAATAGCACACATCTAGTCATTTCTTCATTAGTAGCCTGAATTTATTAAACTATTAACAAATAAGAGTTGTAGTTTAGTAATAATTAAATATGCTTTAACCAATGAGAGTATATATATATATGGTATATTGAATGTCACTACCAGTGAAATCAACGATGTGCATTTTGTTCTGTTTGGGGTTTTTCAGTTCAATTTGCCTGTACCCTAGAGTTGATTTTCATTCCAAGATTTAATTTAATACTGTCCTCTTCAAACTCCAACATGTTATCCACTTATCCATTTAATCCAGACATCATGTGCGGATTGTCTCGATAAAACAAGACTGTTAGGTCCTGGGTTCGAGTCTCTCGAGGGACGGGATCGTGGATGAGCAGGTTTTCCATGGTAGTCTAGCTTCAATTGACTCATGATTTCAACTATTGAAATTATTAAAATCTCCACAAAACCCCTTCTGATAATTATAATATATGTTTATGAAGAATAAATTATATTTGATTAGCAGTGGAATGCAGAGCACGCGTTTCGTCTCATTTAATACTACTTAGGTAGATTTGCCTTCATTTTATTTGGGAATCATCATACTAGCTATATTGAGACAATCCGCATACAACGCACGTATAACAATTAACAATGATCAGATTTTGGTCAAAATATCAACAACAGAATAATCCAAATCATGACAGTGGGAGTAATTTGAAGAATCATTGCTCTTAATATGTTACATCCTATTCTTTGTTTTAGCTGTTTATACTTACTTACTTACTTACTTACTTACTTACTTACTTACGCCTATTACTCCTCGTGAAGGAGCATAAGCCGCTCACCAGCACTCTCCATTTAACCTTGTCCTGAGTAATCCTTTCCAGCTCTTTCCAGTTCTTATTCATCCTTTTCATATCTGATTCTATTTCCCGACGTAATATGTTCTTTAACCTTCTTCTTTCCCGTTTCCCTTCAGAATTCCAAGTTTTACGACTTGCCTCATAAGTTGTTTATAAAATCTTATTAAATTTATTGAATCATTTTGAATTCCATTATGTTTATAAATTTACTTATGAGGCATTATTATTAAAGGTTGTCAATTTCTTTTTATTTTTTATATTTTCACTGTATTCATCTTTACATAGCAACAACAACAACAACGTTTATTTTTGAACATAGTTCATATCATTATCATATTGGATTATCTATATATTCTGTTTCCTAGGGAGCAACTAAATGTATTCTAAATATCATTGAGTGTATACTATCAATGTATCATTATAAGTGAGGGGGGAGAGGGGGGAATGTATTTTTTTTTTTATTAGAAATAAGATTGATCCAATCTAATTTGTAAAATAAAGTTGTTTTTTTTTGTTCTGACCTTCATTTGTGTATATATTCAACATACATCTATACATCTAATTACACGAATTCTCCAATTGGATAGAATACGTATTTAAATTAGTGTTTTAAATGTTATTCTGGTTAGAGTTATTTTTTTTTATCAAGGTTGTTTTCTATGGAATGGGGTTGACAACCCTATTCCGAACCCTCCTCCTTTACCCGGGCTTGAGACCAGCCGTAGTCTTAGAAATGCCACAGCCGGAGTGGATGGAGAATGCCAGTGAGTGGCCTATGCTTCTCTATGAGAGGTAACAGGTGTAATTAAGTTTAAATGATAGACAATCAGATTATGAAGGACGTGTTCATAAGTCCTTCCAGTCGTTCAAACCTTATATCTCGTAATTAATAAAGAGCATATATGTTCACTAAATGCTACGTTGTTTAATAATAATTTAGTTAAATAGAATACTCTTCTTGAGTGCTGTTAGAAGTATGATGGCAGTTATCACTTCTCGGTTGACCTCACAGTGGAAGAGTTCTTTTGGAGGTACTTGAAAAGTAAATTGGGTTAGAGGTGGTCTTAGTGACCTGAGAACGTGACCACAGTGCCCAAGAGACAACTGCTTGAGATAAATCATACACGACCTTTTTGTGAGTAATTTTCATGTTAGCTCCGTATTTGTTGAGACCTTAACACCGAAGACAGATATCCGTTGGATAAGACGAGATGTGCATTTTTAGGGTCGACTTTTTCTAACCCCACCCCTCCTTGTGGAAAGGCAGCATCGTTGCTATACTGGTTGTCTGAAGGAAACACCTTACTGGTGTCACACCTCTGTACAGTCAGCAATACAACTTCACCTTTGAACCTTGGGTTTTCTGTTTTTAGTCTTACTGTTCTTCAACTAACTTGTCTGTCATGGTAGAAGCTTGAGAAACGATTGTTCCATCCAGTATAGCTCGATTGGTTCATCACGATAGGCAAGCCCGACCACCACGTCAAAGTAGCAGCAACAGTACTATATTCTTATATGCACTCCTTCTTTTATATATTACCACCATCTAATTAACTACTTCTATGAAGTTGGTGTTGATCTTGTTGTATTAATAAGGTATGGCAACTTAGACTGATGTATATATGTGCCTGGTCCTAAGTTGTATCTGATTGACTGATAATACTCTTCATACTTTCCATTTCTCTGATTTATTTTAATTCCGTTATTCACTAACACAAGTTAAGTCGATAGTTATATAAGACGATTGGCAACATGTGTATATATCGATAATAATCATTCATACTATCAAATTGGAGTCAGATATCGGGCCATAAAATTTAATTAGACGACAACGTCAAGATTATAATTTATAAACGAACCAATCACGTATAAGAGAATAGGTCTCGGATTTTGGCACGAAATTCACTCAATCATTTGCATAAATAGAGTTTCGACATTATAGCTGATGTCAGTTTGTGATGAAAACTCTAAATCTAATTCCTAACCCTAACCATCAACTGTAAATCATAATTCAACTTACTCACATTGGTTTATAACCATTTTTTAGTACTAGTTAATAGGTGGACACTCTCAGGGTTAGTTTAGCGTCACTCAAATGTTACCCTTAAACTATAGTCGAACCCAATAAACTTTTTCAGTACAGTATTTGATTGGATCTAATCTGAATATGTCAGTCAAAAAAAAATCATTGCTAACACTTTTTTCCAATAAGGTGACAATACCTTTTTTTCCATATCTCAATGATATAATTGAAATCAAAGATGGTTAGTGGCTAACAGTGGAATCTAGGACTAGTGTTTCATCCTATTTGTGACTCATCAACTGGATGTACCTCCATCTCAGTGTTATTGTTCACTCTTGGACTTGAATTATGTTAACCATTATCTCCAAACATATAACATAAGTCAACAATTTGTTGTGTTGTTTAAATCGCTGGCGGTATTAATTCATCTGATCACCATCCCCTAGAATTCTTCTTCTACTTCAATGTTAATTGATAGATTTTATATGTTTATTTTATAGTAGAATGTGTGATACATTCTTATACCATTCTTCCTTAAATAGTCATTATATATGATTGTAAATAAACATTTACTAATGCAAACTATTATATAGATTTAATAGTTGAATTCATAAGTCAATTGAAACTAGACCATCATGAAAAAAAAACAACTTGAAACCACTGAATTCTCAGTTTAAATCTCATGTAACAAGATTGTGGATACATACTACTAAGGAGTCTCATACTACAACGAAACAACTATCCAATACTTCTAGGTTTTCTATAATGATCTAACTTCAACGAGACCATCATGAAAACAAAAAACAACTTGAAACCACTGAATTCTCAGTTTAAATCTCATGTAACAAGATTGTGGATACATACTACTAAGGAGTCTCATACTACAACGAAACAACTATCCAATACTTCTAGGTTTTCTATAATGATCTAACTTCAACGAGACCATCATGAAAAAAAAAACACAACTTGAAACCACTGAATTCTCAGTTTAAATCTCATGTAACAAGATTGTGGATACATACTACTAAGGAGTCTCATACTACAACGAAACAACTATCCAATACTTCTAGGTTTTCTATAATGATCTAACTTTAACGTATCATTTACTAGAATATTCACTAATATACCTTCTTTGAATTCATTTTCAGGGTTTTTGATTTATTAATGTTAAGTCAGTTGAAAAAATTCAATTCACCTTCATATATAAATATTAAACCAATTAATTATATAACTAATTCATATGATTATCATCATTTATTGAATCCTTCTTATGGGATTGATTCATCTAATTCTAAATCAAATCAAATGAGAAACTTGGATATATTTCATCATCAACAAAATGATAATCGTTTACATCCTCAATCTTATCAGAATCAATGGAATCAATTAATAAATGATCCACAAATTACTATTCAATCATTTCTAACAAATAATATTGATTTATCTATACATGAAACAAATATATGTCATATATTATCTGGTTTAACTAATCGTCAACGTTATATTTGTTTACAACATACTGGTTTAATATGGGCAATGCTTGAAGGTACACATTTAAGTATGAATGAATGTGTACATCAATTTAAACATGAACAATGGAATTGTTCTGCAGTTAATTTATTATATCGTACACATATGAAATCAACAAATTTACCATTAATTCATGGATTAGAAGGAATATTACAACGTGGTAAGTATATATATAAAACGATTTTGTCAAATAAATATTTTTATTTTTTTTTGTCAATGGTTAAGATCATGAGTGAGTTGAAGCTAGACTACCATAGAAAAAGGTGGAAGCAATAGACGGCCGGTTTTTTCCTTATTGTGGGATTCCTCAGTAGTGTACATCCATGAGATTGATAGATCGTGGGTTCGAATCTCATGAGGCGAGATCGTAGATGCTCACTGCTGAGAATTCCCAAAATAGGATGAAACGGCCTTCCAGTAGTTTCAGGTTTTCCATGGTGGTGTATCTCATGATCTCAACCATTGAAATTATTATAATATCCACAAAAACCGTTCTCTGATTAAAATATATTTTCAATTGAAAAATTATATCACTAGGTGTTAAACTAGAAAAAGTATAAACAGTCATTTAATCACAATTGATTGATCACTGGGTGACCAATGTCATGCGTGTCTAGTCCTTATTATTAGTGCAGATCGAATGCTATCGATCATATTGCAATGTGACCACCAGTCTAGGTGACTCGACACCGCGGGCACTATTGTAAGGTTAGATGGTGGTTGGAGGTAGTCGACAGTCACTTAATATTGTGAATATACGGATATTTTGTTAAATGAGTGCACAAATACACAATGAAACGAAAAAGTGGTTCATTCCACAAAAATATCTTATTGATCTATAGAGAAAGACTAATTTGATACAAACAACAAGTAAGCAGAATCATATAAGATTTTAAGAGGACAGTACTGAGTTTTATTCACAGCACGAGCATAGACACCAGGTAAATCCGCTCCAAATAAAAAACGAGACACGATTCTTGTATTGCAATGCTAGCGGTTACTTAACTCTGTTTATAATTCCATAATTTCAAAATATGTAATTATTTTCATATTCTAATGAACTTGCAATCTTGAAAAAACGTTTTATTATTAGAAGTAAAATACTACCGTAACATACTTCATGTGCAAAATTATTTTTAATCATCTGAAATATTTGTGTTAAAATATATACTACTAACAAGTAGGCAATTTATTAAAAATAAAATTTCGGGTAGTCCGTTTTACATGTCAAGTTCTCAACTATTACGAACACAATGGAAACTGATTTTCTGAATAAAACTATATACTGATTTGAGATTTATAAAGTGGACAATCGCTTTGAAATGAAATCTTTGCTTTAACTAACTTATTTTGTTTGGAGAATATGAATGTAAAACTATTCTATCCAGATAATTTGACTATGAGTTGAAACTATAGTAGAAATACAGTGTTGTATTTTGATAGACTAGTTACCATACTAATGTTCGCTTCAGCTATATTTTTCTTTAGACGAGTCAAAGTCTTTTCTTTTTAATGGAAACATAATTTTACAAAATAATTTTTCTACTTAAATTTAAAGAGTAAAAATTACCTACCCGAAATTTTTGAAACTGACAATTTTTTTACCGCACAATTTAACGATAATATAACTAAATTTATTTCTAGTTTGACGTTGTGGAGTTTGTTGAATTCGATTGAAGTGATGAACTGATCAATGTTAGACTACCATTAGAAACCGAGATGTATAGAATGGTTTTTTCATTCTAGTATGGGACTCCTGAATTGTGCGAATTCATGATCCCATACACGAGAATTGAACCCAAGGACTTCGATCCTGTGTGAATACGTCCAACCTTTAGACTACTGGACCAACGCGAACAACTTCCATTGTCTTTGATGGATAATTGCCTCATACCCGATAGGGTTGAAATCCACTGGTCATGGCTTCTCAATAAAACTCCGAGAATCCCCTGTTGTAGCTGGTCATTAGTGAGCAGATGATAATTGTTAATAAATAATCAAATGTAGCGCTTTATAAATAAATAATAGCTGTATAGGAAAAGGGTATATTATTCTTAAAAACCAGAACGTATAAATATTACGATATTGAATATGTTAACTGTGTTCACTTACAATAATATCAAATTACACTATTTTCCTAAAAAGGAACATACTACGTTTTCGACCTAATTAAGTTCGGTTCAATTTTTGAGTACTTGACGATTACATATTTCAATCATTAAGATCATGAGTCAGTTGAAACTAGACCACCATGGAAAACCTAGAAGCACTGGACGGCCGTTTCGTCCTATTGTGGGACTCCTCAGCAGTGCGCATCCACGACCTCGCCCCCTGGGTTCGAATCTTGCAGGGGGCGATGATTACATATTTTTATATATTCGACATGAATATTCGATAAGCATTCACTCACTACATAATTACGGTATACTTTTTTTTTAACATTTAGGATCCAGAGAAACTGCATTTCTTTCATCCTCATGGTCAGCTGGTGTTGTTCAAGCAATAACACGTGCATGTAGTCGAGGTCAAATGGGAACATGTGATTGTGATCCACATCGACGTGAAGGTCAAGGTAAAGATGCTGAAGGAATATTCACTTGGGGTGGATGTAGTGATCCTATACGATTTGGTATGCGTTTAACACGTTTATTTTTAGATGCAAATGATGAAGAACATCGTAATGCTGCAGTAAAAAGAGAACAAGAACTTCATGAACAAAGAATACAACTATTATCATCATCATCATCATCAATGAAATTAAATAATCAAGATAAGCAAAATAAAAGAAAACGACAAAAAATTTATAGATTTCCACGTACATTTAATAATAATAATAATAATAATAATAATAATAATAATAATAATACATCTAATCAACAATTCGAAGCAAACAATACAGAAACTGTTAAAAATATAGTAAAACCAATGAATAAATCCAACACAATTCTTTCACCTAAAGAACTTCAAATGGAAACATTAAAAATTATTCAAACTAAAGCTAGAACATTAATGAATTTACATAATAAAAAAGCTGGAAGACGAGTAAGTTCAATTGATTGAACTGTTTGAACTGTTCTTTGTACTTTCCCGTTTTTTTTTTTGTGTTTTTTTTTTGGGAAACCTTTCCCATTACATTTTTCTACTTGTGAAATGATTAATAATCTTATTCATCCAGGCGAAATTCATCATGTACTGATTTCAATTACAGAATAATGAAAGAACAACAACAACTGAAGTAACTAGACATATTCTTCATTTGAGTTTGTGTTTGTTGAATGATTACTAGGTTTTAACAGTTAACTAATTAAAGTCAATTCACTTATCTAATTCAAGTTTAAATTTATCTTCATAATCAATCAATTAAAATGTGAATAACTTTGCCTTCTTTTAACACATCTCTGGTGATAAACATTTGTTGTTCTGATACTGTATACATTTACTTTGTGGTTATTCAATTAAGGTTTCATATTCGATTAGGGGATCGAACAATCACTATCAAATTATCTGTGACTTTTAAAAAAAATTCCAGAACTCATACGATAGACTACAGTGAAAAAGTAGTGCATGGAGAACAGCTGACAGATGCATTCCAAGTAAGGACTGGAGTAAGACAAGGCTGTCTACTCTCTCCCTTCCTCTTTCTTCTGGTGGTCGACTGAATAATGAAGACTTTGACATCTGAGGGAAAACATGGCATACAATGGACAGCTCCGAACCAATTAGACAATTTGGACTTCTTAGATGACAATGCCCTCTTATCGCATACACACCAACAAGGCAGCCAGCGTAGCAGCAGTCTCTGAATCACTAGGCCTCAACATACACAAAGGAAAAACCAAAGTCCTCAAATTCAACACGGAGAACAGTAATCCAATCATTCTTGATGGCAAAACTTTGGAAGATATGCAATCCTTCACGTAACTGGGAAGCATCATCGATGAACAAGAAGGATCGGATTCAGACGTAAAGGCGAGGATTGGCAAAGCAAGGGCCTCATTCTTACAATTGTAGGACATATGAAACTCAAAGCAACTTTCAATCAATATCAAAGTCACAGTCTTCATTACGAACGTCAAGACAGTTTTACAAAACGGAGCCGAAACTTGGAGAACTACAACAACCACCATCAAGAAGGTACAGGTATTTATTAATAGCTGTCTACGCAAGATACTCAACATCCATTGGCCGGATACCATCAGCAACAGCCTTTTGTGGGAGAGAACCAACCAGCTTCCAGCTGAAGAGGAAATTAGGAAAAGACGATGGAAATGGATAGCAAATACATTGAGGAAATCATCAAACTGCATTACGAGACAAGCGCTAACTTGGAATCCTGAAGGGAAGCGGAAAAGAGGAAGGCCAAAGAACACATTACGTCGGGAAATAGAAGCAGATATGAAAAAGATGAATAAGAACTGGAAAGAGCTTGAAAGGATTGCCCAGGACAGGGTTGGATGGAGAATGCTGGTGAGCGGCCTATGCTCTTTCACGAGGAGTAACAGGCTTAAGTAAGTAAATTAAAAAAGAATATATAAACTTAACTTCCAATACATCATTAAAAGTTTAACTAGTGGTTACTAAATAAGTGAAAGGAAAAATCAAATTCATAGTGAATATATTATACCTAAAATGGATTCCATTTCACTACCATCCAAAAAGAGGAATGTTTCATACAAGTGTCTGACTATCTACAAAACCCTACAATAACATAGAACCAGTCTGGATTTTGTCTTATGAAGATCAACATGCATTATATTACATACCATATATTTAAATATACATTATATCATGAAGAGAATCTAACTTGATTTCTGATATTAATCCTTAAAACTACCATGTGACTATTATTCTCATGGAAATAATCCATTAGACTCATTTATCTTCTAGTGTGAAGAAATACATACAAAATATCTAAGATATGTAATTACCTATGGATTGTGTTCCATCTGTAACTCCATAAGTATAGATTGTGATTATAATAAACTTAGATAGATGACCAACGGCCTACTTGAATATCTAGGCTACCTATTCCTGACATCTAGACATTTCAACAAGATGTTAATTGATTGAATTACTAACTTCTAACTGATGACCATTGAATATTTATTGTGAGGATCGATCAAGAAGTAACAAATGGAAACTTGTTGAAATACTTTGTGCCAAGAATTCTATATTGTACGAAAAAATATAATATTGAATAAAGTAATAGTAGTTTACTCCTGTTACACCTCGTGGAGCAGCATAGGTCTGACACCAGCATTCTTCATCCAAACCTGTCCCAACCAATCCTTTCCAGTTGTTATCCATCCTTTTCATATCAGTATCTATTTCCCGACCTAATGTGTTCTTTGGTTTTCCTCTTTTCCGTTTCCTTTCATGATTCCATGATGGGGCTTGCCTCATAATGTGGTTTGGTGATTTCTGTAATTTATATCCTATCCACTTGCGACGTCATTTTCTAAATTCCTCTTTAGCTGGAAGCTGGTTTATTCTCTTTCACAGTAGGTTGTTACTGATTGTATATGGCTAATGGATATAGAGTATTTTAAGTAGACAATTATTTATAAATACTTTTACTTTCTTGATAATGATCTGTAAAGTTGTAATTATTTTTTAAATTTTTTTCCGGATCGATCGAAGTATTAAATAATCTCGATGATTGAGATCATGAGTCAATTAAAGCTAAACTACCATGAAAAACCTGGAAGCAGTGAACTCCCTTCTGTTATTAATCAACATATACTCACTAGTGACTGGCTTCAAGAGGTGTTTCTTGAAATTCAACCGCATCTGTTGTAAGACAGTAGCTCACTGAAGACAATGATGGATATGACGCTCAATTTTGTGGATTGGTCGAAATTAAACATTAACACTATTGTATGCCAGTTTAAGTGTTCGTGCATGAGACTGGAATATCCTGTGTTCGAATCTCACAGAGTGGGATCGTGAATGTACATTGTTGAAGAGTCCTACAATGGAACGATTTGGTCGTCAAGGTTTTCTATGATTGTCTATCTTTAATTCATTCATGATCTCATCTATTAAAATTACTATAATATTCCACACACACACACACACACAAAAAAAAAACAACCCTTTCTAATCTATTAAATAATTATTCAAAAATTTATTTGAATCTATTTTAGTTCATATGGAAAAATCGTATTACAAAATGTAAATGTCATGGTGTTAGTGGAGCATGTTCAATGCGTACATGTTGGCAACGTGTTAATGAATTTCGTCTTGTTGGTATAATGTTAAAAGCAGCTTATGATTCAGCTATACATGTTACATATGAACCAAGAATAGATATATTAAAACAAATTAATACCAAAATAAATTCTAATCATTATAAAAAATTATATTCATATAATAATTATATCACTAGAAGTAATCATCCATTTGTATTATCAAATCATAATCATAATTTAAAGAATTGGTTAGTATTAATTAAAAGTCATAATAATAATAATAATAATAATAATAATAATAATAATAATAATAATTCTAAATATGATCGAAACAATGAACAATTTCAACATAGATGGCCTCGTATGCTGATGACAAAATTCAAAGAGATACCAAAGAATCAATTAGTTTATTTAGAAGAATCACCAAATTATTGTTATTTTGATGAAACTATAGGTTAGTTAAACTATAGATTATTATTTATTATTGAATAGTATTAATTTATTCTTTTGAATATTTAACATCTTAAAAGTTGAGTTTATGAAGAAATTATACTTTTTATTAGGCACAGTGTTTCAATAGTTGAAATTATTAGTCAATTGAATCTAGCACGTGGAAACAGTGAATGGTTGTTTCATCCTAGTATTGGATTCCTCAGCAGTACGCATGTACGATCCTGCCCTCACGAGTTAGATATTAACATGGTTGGATATCGGTTCAGTGGTCTAATAGTTAAGCGCTCACGTGCTAGACTGATAGGTCCGGGATTCGGATTTCATGGGCGGCAAGATAGTGGATGCATACAGCTGAGGAGTCCCATACTGCGACGAAACAGCCGTTCAATGCTTCTAGGTTTTTTGTGGTTGTTTAGCTTCAATTGACTCATGATTTTAACTATTGGTATTACTAAAGTCTCCACAAAACCTCTTCAGATACAATGTTTATTGCATCTTGAAAGTTGAGTTTATGAAGAAATTATACTTTTTATTAGGCACAGTGTTTCAATAGTTGAAATTATTAGTCAATTGAATCTAGCACGTGGAAACAGTGAATGGTTGTTTCATCCTAGTATTGGATTCCTCAGCAGTACGCATGTACGATCCTGCCCTCACGAGTTAGATATTAACATGGTTGGATATTGGTTCAGTGGTCTAATAGTTAAGCGCTCACGTGCTAGACTGATAGGTCCGGGATTCGGATTTCATGAGCGGCAGGATAGTGGATGCATATTGCGGAGGAGTCCCATACTGCAACGAAACGGCCGTTCAATGCTTCTAGGTTTTTTGTGGTTGTTTAGCTTCAATTGACTCATGATTTTAACTATTGGTATTACTAAAGTCTCCACAAAACCTCTTCAGATACAATGTTTATTGCATTTATTTCGTAGTTACGTAATTAGGTAACTGAGAATGATTTAGTTAAATTATTGTAGAAAAGTGAATAATATTACTGATAGATGATGGTAGCCCAATCATATTTTGATTTTGATTCCGTGAACAGTAATAAATGGAGGAAATTGGAAAGCATCCAAATTGAATGGAATGAATGTTTAATATGAAGGTGATACTTAAATTGCTTTAAGACGGTTTTCGTCAAGATTAAGTATCAGCTGGAAATACAAAATTCTTAAAGATTGGTTCCATTTTACCCCCCCCCCATTTATTACCACACACAGAATCAAAATCAAAATTCGATTGGGCTACCATTATCCATCAATAATATTAATCTCCTATGCATAATAATTAGATCCAGGATGCACATTTCATCCTATTTGGTGTTCATCAGCTTGATATACCTATATTACCAAAGTTGATTTTCAATCCAGGACTTGAAACCAGTACCCTTTTCCCATTTCGCATTCCATTGCTAATCATCATACATATCTACTTATTAAACTTATTATTATTGACAGAAATTTTTATAGGGTTTTTCATTTGAATTACTTACTTACGCTTGTTACCCCCAAAAGGAGCATAGGCCGACGACCAGCATTCTCCAACCCACTCTATTCACGGTCTTCTTTTCTAGTTCTATCCCAATGTTGTTCATTCTTCTCATATCTGTCTCCATTTCTCGGTGTAATGTGTTCTTTGGTTTTCCTCTTCTCCTTCTTTCGCCTTGAGGATTCCATGTGAGGGCTTGTCTTATGATGCAGTTGGATGCTTTCCTCCATATATGTCCTATACACCATTTTTTGGGATAATACATTTCATTTGTTCTAACAGATGAATTAAGTGTAAGTTAATCAACTGTGACTTAATGTAAGGCAGTTTTTTTTTTCCATTACAACTATATAAGTACACAATCAGTAATCAATTACCATGAATGTACTAATGGCAGTAATAAAAACTTCAAATGTCTATGTTTTATAGTAAAAAAAATAACATGATAATAGTAATAAAACTAGAGAATATAAGAATTAAAGTAGGTAAAGTGATGTTCGGTTTAAAGACCTTTCATAGAATTAGTTTATATGAACAACTAATGAAAACTATAGGTTACACATAAGTAGCTTCATCCTGATATGGAAATGCTTAATAGAAAAATGTATTTTTATTCAAATCAATGGGAAATACAACCAAAACAAAAAACAGGGTAAACCATGACAGGTTTAAGGTCGACATCGAGGTCTACAAGACAAACTGTGAACCATATGTGGAGAAATTCGAACACTTCACTTCAACCTGAAGTTTGTGCTGATGATATCGTTCAGAAGAACGGATGAAAACTTCAAGATCAAACTATCTAGCTCAGAGAACAAAACTTCATCAAGATGTAAACTTCTACGAGCATAGGTAAAACTTAATATGAATTGCTTAGAATTTATTTTATAGATTGCACTAAACTTTTTAGTTTTCATATAGTTTCTTGACAATATCAAGAGGTATTTCCTGGAATTCTAGTAAGAATCCATGACCAGTGGAGGTCAACCGATTATGTTTTGAGGAGGTAACTCACTAAAGACAATGATGGATAGTCATGCGATTTCGTGGATTAATTGAAGCTAGACATTGACACTGTTGGATGTCGGCTGACTCAGTGATCTAGTGGTTAGGAGCTCTCGCGCGAGACTGATAGGTCCTAGATTAGAATCTCGTGAGGTGAGATTGTGAATGCGCACTGCTGAGCAGTCCCACAATAGGACGACTCGACCATCTAGCACTTCCAGGTTTCCCATGGTGATCTATCTTCAATTGGCTCATAATCTCAACCAATGACAATATATAATTGTTATTCAGTTATATTACTCTTAAAGATTCAATATGAGGATAGTTCTCTATCACGAAACAATATTCATAAAAAATTCAATATAAGATAGGTTAAGCATTCGCGCGCCAGACTGAAGGCTATGAGTTCGAATCCCATTAATGGGATCGTGGATGCACACTGCTGAGGTGTCTCACAATAGGACAAAACAGTCGTCCAGTGCTTCCAGGTTTCCAATAGTGATCTAACATCAATCGATTCATGATCTCAATCAAAAAAAAAAACTTAATAATCTCCACAATCCCTATCAAGTTGAATTCTCCCTCTCCTTGTTCCATAAAGTCAATCTTTTTTTTTTGTGTAGCCATCTTCATTGATTATCAACTTTATATACTATTCTCTATGTATTCAAATTGCTCATAAATCATTTAGATATAAATTACCATTAAAGGTTTTAAATGAATTTAAAGAATCTATGGGTAATGATGAGTCATTTATCCCTAAGATGTGAATGATTCCTACATTAAAATGTTAATCTCATATAATTTCTCTTATCTGAAATCATATTTACAATGAAAAATCTTTCAAACATTTAGGTCATACTAATATCCATGGTATTACATAAAAACAATTTATATCATTCATCATTTCATTATTTATAGAATAGTATAATCCCCTTGTTACCCATATTAGTTAGTCATATTAACAAACTAATAGTTTTGAACAAAATTATAATGTTAATCAGAGATTTTTGTGGATAATTTCATCAGTCGATCAAAGCTAGGTCATCATAGAAAACCTAGAAGTATTGGACGATCAACTTGTGTTGGTATGCGACTTCTAAGTAGTGTGCTACGTGAGATTCGAATCAAGTACTTATCATTATAAATAAAAATGGATAGTGGTTAGTAGTGGAATTCAGGATACGCGTCTGGTCTTATTTGGGACTGGTCAGCTGGATGTATCTGCATCTCAGAGTTAATGTTCACTATGAGACTCGAACCGAGTACCGTTCGCTTTAAACGCTATTGCGTTATCCACTTAGCTACTGAGTTCTGATAGCCACTTGCTTGTGAAATGGAGTGAAGTTTAATTCACTTGATATTGTTTTATTTGAATCTTCCCATTGATGTTTAGGACTGAAATTGTTCAGTCTCTGAGATGTAGGTACATTCAGCTGACGAGTCTCAAATTGGACGAAACGCGCGTCCTGGATTCCACTGCTAACCATTATCCATCTCTGCTTATAATGCTTATAAATTAAGGCAATATCGAGGCAATCCGCACAGTATGCACATATACTAATAAGAGATTGAACAATTTCAGTCCTAAACATCAATCGGAAGATTCAAATAAAACAATATCATGTGAATCAAGGACTTATCAGTCTTGTGAGCGAGATAGTATCGTGAATGTGCACTGCTGAAGTCATTCAATGCTTTCAGGTTTTCCATAGTGATCTAGATTTAATGGACTGATGAATTCAACTATTAAATTAGAATATGACAGAATTTTCCCATTGATTAGTTTTATAATCATCATACATAGCTTGATAGTAGATAAATATATAAAATGTCAAATCATTCATTCTTTTTTCTGAGGTTAAATACCCGTATACTAATTAGAACACTTAATTGAAATTATAATAAAGTAATTATTTATGAAGGTTAAATAAGAGTAGAAACTAATTATAATTGAATATGAAATTCATTAACTCTAATTATTTTAGTCAATTGTAAGTTTTGTCATAGAATTAGGAATAGTGAGATGGTGGAAAAGATTTATAGCTCAGGTGGATGATTTTGATGGAGTATTGTTCTTTGAACTGGATGGTTTGATCGTGGAGCTTTTATCAGTCTTCTGAATGACATCATCAGCACAAACTCTAGAAGTTATGAATAGTTTATGTACAATGCCAGTTAACTTTAAATTTAATCGTTGAATTCATGAGTCCATTGAAGCTAGATCACTATGGAGAAACTGGAAGTAAAGGGACTCCACGATCCTATCTCGCAAGATTCGGACGTAGGATCTATTAGTCATGCGTGCGTAAACACTTAACCTTTAGACAACTGAGATGGCCAGTATCTAAAGGTGTTAATATCTAACTTTAACCAACTTTAAATTTGATTAAGAATAATGTACTTACTTACTTACTTACGCCTGTTACTCCCAATGGAGCATAGGCCGCCGACCAGCATTCTCCAACCAACTCTGTCCTAGGCCTTCTTTTCTAGTTCCTTCCAATT